AAACGGTCACAGGGCTATACTATGCCGAATTCTTGGGCCGATTCGACGTCGAATTGCAGAAAAAACGGCCCCGTTTGGCGAAGAAAAAAGTGCTCTTCCACCATGACAACGCACAGGCTCACACCTCCGCCGTCGCCATGGCCAAATTGGTCGAACTAGGCTACGAACTGCTGCCCCATCCACCGTATTCTCCAGATTTAGCCCCGTGCGACTTCTTTTTGTTTCCAAACTTGAAAAAGTCACTCGCCAGGCAGAAATTTGCGTCGAATGAGGAGATAATCCCTGCCACGGAAGCCTACTTTTCAGACCTCGAGGAAACGTATTTTTCAGACGGGTTAAAGAAGTTGGAGCATCACTGGATCAAGTGTATCAAACTAAAAGGAGACTATGTTGAAAAATAAAACGCCACTTTTCCAAAATTTTCGTTTTTCTTTTGTAGGCTAAGTACTTATCGGACCACCATCATATACGGTGCGCGCGACAATATCATGCATCGCTAGTTTGTTCGCAATATTTCTTTCGCGACATTCATTTGCATGCACGCTACCGATTTTCTCATAATCTCCGGTACGAGGGGAGAGCAATTAAATCGCGACGCAAAGCTGGCCAGCTTACCTTATTTAAATGCTCGCACTATCAGGGGGTTATTATCGCCTCCGGTATCTCAGGTTGCCGTCTCTCTCACGATAAAGTGTTTATTCTATCAGGTGGAGGGGTTCTACAACCTCGTGGTTGGCCTACGATGGCGATGTCATCACTCACTTTAAACGGCAACAACAATGCAAATTATCGGTAACCTCGCTTCCGCACTCTTTGTAAATGTTCGTGTTTTACTCCTCTGCGCTTTCTTATTCTTGCATGGCTAATCCTCGACTTTCGGGTAGCTGCACAACTCTAGCTTTAGTGCTCCTGGACTCTTTGACGCTGTTTCCGATGTCAAAGGCGGTCTCCCACTCGTTCTTTTCTCTTCGCGCGCGTTCCTTTCCATTTCGGACCGAGTTCCCGTTTTCGACTTACCCGGGCCAGTAGGTGCTGCCCTCGCAGGCAGTTGCGCGATCGAGACGGTAGCGCAAACCGGACGTTTACCGTCACAATTTATATATATCAAAGAGCGTTATTTAGTATAATAATAATGAAAAAATTTTATAGTTTCAATAATTAGTTTAGTGATTATTGTGGAGCTTCTATAGTTCTATGTCGTATGTTTTACATTATTTTTAATTTTTTAGATTGGCTAATCATGAAACTAACAACAATAAACTGGAGAAATTTTTTAAAATTATACAATTTAAGCGGAAATCGAATTGAAGGTGCTGTGTGTCAAGATTGCAAAAATATCATTAAAACTGTTTTCGAAAGAAGATTGGCAGGTCATAGGTATGTCATAATTGAAAGTATATAACATTATTGTAATTATAATATTTATGATATTTTGAAAATAATGAAATCTATCTAAAAATAGCACAAATGTTGATAACTATAGTTTAAAATAGCTTTCTCGCATATTGATTTATCATAACCAATTTTTTAACGAATTATTGTAATTATGACAATTATAATCTACATTAAGTTTCAAAGGTAGTAGTAAAATAAAAATAATGTTAATATAATATTATTTAGCAATATATACTGTAACGGGGTAAAACCGTTTAATTGTTATATTCGCGCGATTATATTAAAAGGACACGCGTAATTGTCAATGCTCACTACTTATCCGGGAGAGCACGAGAAAGTATGCGTCAGTCAACCAATAATCATTAATAACCTATACTAAAATGAGTGGAAGCTATGTGAGATGAGAGAATCAATGAAAACACTTGTTAGTAATGTGAATTGGATCTTTTATTGTCCCTCAAAATTCACAAAAGGTCGGCCCGCGCGTTTGTTTACATGTACGCTCGCTCGTCGACAACACGCTTTGCCGGTACGCTCGCTGCTCTTTGTTATTAGAGCCGTTACATGCACGCATCGAATGTTAGAACCAAATTATTATTCGTATAATCGCGATCGCGAAATTAAGCTGGCCAGCTTACCTTATAATTGCAGGCGATCGGAGAAAACCACGACAAGTCGCACAGCACGGAACAGTTGTTTATTGTTTTTATTGTTCGCGGGTCGCGAATGTGCGCACACACTGGTTTCGCCCTTGATGGCGAAACCTCACACACTCTCTCTCGTTCTGGCCTCAAGCTCGTAGCTGGACAGCACCTTGGCGGCTGTAATCCTGGATCACTGGCTGTTGCTTTTTCGATGCGTGTAGACGTCAAGGGCACGTGAATCGTTAATTGCGGTAGCGTAAGCGGACGGACACTATGATGGTCTAGGCTTCACTGGTTCAAATTCGGTCGCGCGCGTTCCGTCTGCTCGCGTGCCGAATTCCTTCGTTACCCATTCTGTCCCCCCGGCAGGTGCTGCCCTCACAGGCAGCAATTAAGCTAAATAGTCAGCGCTAATTTGACGTTTACCGTCACAATACGTTAAAATATTTATCACAGATAGATTAGATTTTTATTTATTAGATTTTGGTTTTATTTCTATAGTTAATATTTTTAGTAATAACCAAATCAATCAATCAATTACAGTATATTCTAATAGTAACTATTAATCGAATATAATAAAAAGTTTACTATATTGTTAATAAAGTAGTCATACTAATACTATCAATAAGAAAAGATAATATAAGATGTCGGTCCAATGCGGTTTGAGAATTATTTTATAGCGTTCCTTTTTTTTAATCATCATAGTCTGCACATAACACTTCTTCAATGGTCATATCAACGGTTAGTGCGGATTTTAATTCTATAAAAACTGTTGTTTTATTATAAATTGTAATTCTCACTTCATATTTTTTATTTATACATTGTAATATTAAAATATAATATATGTTTATTAATTAAACAGAAAAATATGCTCCGAAAAAAGATACTGTAACGTTTAAGATAACGTGGACACGGTAAGATACATAACCAAGCCTTTTTCTATACTGCTTCAAACCTATTTTTAAAATTTTATTGGAATTAACTTACATCCTTTTGTTATAAAAGAATTTTTTATTACAAGAAACTTTCGTTAGTTAGATTTCTACTTATAAATTGGGGTTATCTATTTTTAGTGTTCACAGACGATTACGGACTTGGCATTAAGGGATTATCAGGTTTCGACTTTCTTTACTTAAGACAAGTTATTAAAGACTGATAGTCAGTGATTTCCAGATTTGAAATTCTGTAGCGCAACTCAGATAACACAATATGCCGGCACGGTCTGGTACATACATGCTCGTCACGGCCTGCCATCATACTGCAGGCACAGTGCGAGTACGAAAAGCTACGCACGTCATACCGTCCGAATGCGGGCATTATGCTGTCATGAAGTGCTGCACGCCATGCATTCAGAATGCTGTCATTCTGCCGTCACTAAGCAAATTCAAATATAAGCATTCTGCAAGCATTATGAAAACACGGAGAGCATTTCTAATTTTTTATATGAAATAGTATTTTTAATTTAATAAACAATATAATTTACAATGGACATATTTTCAATAATTTTTTAGTTCGTTTTAACCGTTTAATAATAATTTTTATGTAATAATTTTATATTAATTCATAGAGATACCAAAATATGAATTCTGAAATCCTCATATGTTCTTCTATTAGCCTTTATAGTGCTTGTCGTATTTTTTTGGCGAACTCGCAAGCGGCAAAATAATTTAACATTTAGTATAAAAGTTCTAGAAATCATAATTACATATGTATTATACATTGTTTTGTTGCAAACGACTTCCTTGGCGAAGTAAGCCGCTTTAGTTTGAAATTGTCCTTGATTGCTGATTTATCTATCGTAGTTAGATTTTTAATCGATTAGAATGATGAAGGGGAAAATCACTAAACACTGTTTAAGGGAAAAAGCCGTAACGGCATAAAAAACCCTCTTTATTAAGTGAAAACTGGAAATTACACTTGCGAAGATAACGCGGGATAGAGACGTCGCGCGGAGACAATGGTTGTTACCATGCACTCGTTCACACGCTCTCACACAAAGAAAACTTTATACACGATAGATTCACAGTCACTGTCACACATCCGAATTACATCGAAATGAGAAAAGAGACCACGTGAGTGGACGAAAACCTTATACTACGTGGGTAGTATAAGTGAGGTTGCACGTGGGTGCACGAGGACGTTACCGAGAACGTGAAGGCGCAAGGGAGCTCCGCACGCGGGACGCTGTCGTCGATGACTGCCGGATGTACCGGCAAGAGCAGCCATGCTTGGCGCGAGTGGCGCAGCACCGTAAGGTGCTGCCACCACGCTAGGTTTAAGGCCCTAGCGCCTCACACACACTTACACACAGACACACGAGAGCTGCGCGCGCAGCTTGATTCGCTTCAAAAAATACATGTCTGAATATCGTACGTATGTGTTAATACATGTGTATCATGTTGCGACGTAACATACTGCCGGCCACGGCTGCGAGACTAATTGGACCATTAATGGTCGAGCAGTGTTAGACTTAACAAGAGCTTATATTGACTAGTTGACCCATTCCTGATTACGAATCTAGGACGGTCTTTGGTTTCTTTATATGAAGAGCCAGTTTTCGTTGAAGGGACTGGTCTATTGATTAGCATCGACATCACAATCTGATTGATTGAAAGCTATTTTGCTTTAATTTCTTAAATTACTAATACAACGAAACGAACGATTTACAAGTCTTAAATCTAATGAACAACTTATTCTACTTAAGATCATCCCGTGCCATAAGTTTGACACTCCGCTGATCACGCTTGTCCTAGATTAACGTCGACGAAAGGTTGGAGTCTCCGCGACTATGGGAAACTGATCTCCGAACAGGTATCGCGCTTCCAAAGATTGATTCTTTGGGCATCTGGCTGTAGAGCACTCTGTACTCTACCCTCTCGCGGGCCAGGCTTCAAGCACTTCCAGAATACCCCATGGTTCGACTCGTTTATGGCAAACCAAAGAGCGCACATCTGGGGCTAATCACGAGTTCGGGAGGGTGACTTGAGACTCCAACGGGTCCGCGTTTTCCTGATCTACAGGGAGCACACAGAGCCGAGTAATGTTTCGTTTGTAGATTCCAGAAGCCATCTTCACCGATGCTACTCGAGCAATGCCATCGCTCCCAGGGTGGATCTCCACGACGACTCCCAGCGGCCATCTTGCGCAAGCAGGGTTATCCTCCATGGACACAACCACAGATCCAATTGATAATGCATTTCCAGAAGTCAACCACTTCTGACGAGTTTGCAGTTCATGCAAGTACTCTTTGTGCCATTTGCTCCAGAAGGCTTGTCTAGCTTTAGAGACGAGCTGATAGAAGGTGAGACGATTGTCCGGAACTGAAACATAATTTTGGTCGAGTAAGAAATTGAAAGAACGCCTGATTAAAAAATGAGCTGGAGTTATCGCAAGGGAATCGTTTGGGTCGGCAGAAATCGCGTATAATGGTCGAGAATTTAACACGGCGGCGATTTCCTTTAATAATGTTTCCAATTGTTCGTTCGTGAGCTTTTGATCCTTAATGACATGATTTAGATGGTGTTTGAAACTCTTAACCGCCGCCTCCCACAAACCGCCGAAGTGCGGTGAGAGAGGGGGATTAAAGTTCCATTCAATCCGTTCGGCTGCAGCAAAGGTTTGAATCGCGTCCTTAAATTCAGGCGAATCATGCAATTGGTAAATCCTTTGCAGTTCGCTGTTCGCGCCCACAAAGTTAGTACCATTGTCAGAGTACATGGTGGTCGGTTTGCCGTGCGTGGCAACGAACCGACGAAAACACGCAAGGAAGCCCTCGGCTGAGAGATCGGATGCTACCTCGATGTGGACAGCCTTAGTGGCCATACAAACGAAAACGGACCCATACGCCTTAAGGAAGCTTCGATTTCGATCCCTTTTTTCCTTGATCATAATCGGACCAAAAAAATCGACGCCGGTCTTCGCGAAAGGGAACGCAGGGTTTACTCGAGATTCTGGAAGGTCTGCCATCTTGGCATGTGAGAATTTTGGCTTTTGCCGAAGACAGGGTACGCAGCGGCGCAAGACATGTCGAATCTGGTTTCGACCGTTGAGAATCCAAAATCTTTCGCGTATCCTATAAAGAGTGGATTGAACCCCTCCGTGAAGATTTCGATGATGAGCGTCACGGATGATGAGATCTGACACGTGATGGTTACTGGGTAGCAAAATAGGGTATTTTTGGTTGAATTGAAGATTTGAATTCTTCAACCGACCGCCTACTCTGATCAGTCCATACTCATCTAAGAAGGGATTGAGTTCATCGAACTTCGTTCGACTCCTGAAAGCGCCGTTGGGGCATTTGGATATTAATTTCGTAGTCGATTTGAGCAATCTAATCTCGGAACTAAAACATTCTTTTTGAATAAGAAGGAGGATCTGGAGTTCAGCGTAAACTATTTCGGCTTGGGAAAGATAACGAATCCCTCGTTGCGATTTACTCGCAATTTGAGTATCGTCTGGTAGTGATTTTCTTCTACTCCAACGGAGAAGATATCCGATGGACCTAATAAGACACCCGTAATCAGAGAAAAGAGAGTAGATGTTACTTCCGGAAGAGGTTGTAAATAAAACGATTCCTTCTTTCGCGCCTAGAGGATCACCTAACGAGGGTTCTTCCGATGAAGGCCATTGATCTTCCGGAAGGACTAACCATGGAGGGCCCGAAAGCCAGAGGGGATCAGTTAGAAGTTCCCTGGGTAGCTGTCCTCGGGATAGAGAATCGGCTGGATTGTCCTTCGAACGAACATGCTTCCACTCGACCTTCTCACCTAACGCTTGAATATCAGCGACTCTGTTCGCTTCGTAAGTTCTAAGTAGATGAGGAGCTTTGCCTAACCAGCAGAGAACGATTTTTGAGTCTGTTCTAAGAATTGTTCGCACGATATTAAAAGTCAGCTGGGTCACCAGTTCGACATATAGTCTCTTCAGAAGGGCAGCGCCAGAGAGTTCCAAACGAGGTATGGTGTGATGACTAAGCGAAGCGACCTTGGATTTACTGCAAGCTAACCTAACAGTAACATTTCCCACGGAATCAACGGAACGAATGTAGATGCACGCGCCGTATCCCTTTATCGACGCGTCGCAAAAACCGTGTATCTCGGTGGATATTGGGTTTGCGACGTCATATCGCAGATACCTTGGTAACGCAAGTTCTCGCACTAAAGGAAGTTGTTCAGCTAAAGCTATCCACTTGGTGTGGATGTCTTGAGGTAGGGATTCGTCCCAGGTAATGTTAGCTTTCCAACAGTCCTGAATTAATGTTTTGGCATACAAGGTTAAAGGACCTAATAAGCCTAGAGGATCGAAGATCCTTGCAATTTGGGAAAGGAGTTTTCTTTTGGTAGAAGCTAACGCATCAGGGTTTGCGGAATACGTAAAGACATCCCGTCGTGAGTCCCAGATGATTCCGAGAGTCTTTTTTATAGGGTTCCCTTGTATGCCACAATCTAAATCGAAGATGTTTTTATCAATGTTGTCTAAAGCCGACGGATGGTTCGACGACCATTTTCGTATCACGAACCCCCCACGACTTAAAAGTTTGATCATTTCGTCGCGAATCTTTATGATGTCCTCCAGCGTGTCTGCACCTGAAAGGAAATCGTCAACGTAGAAGTCTCGACGAAGTAGCATTGCCGCCCTTGGGAATCTGCTCTCTTCATCAACGGCTAACTGATGCAATGTTCGAATTGCGAGAAAAGGAGCGCACTTGACCCCGAAAGTTACAACGTTGAGAACGAAAGTTCGAACTTCACCTTCGTGGTACCACAAGATCTTCTGGAACCTCCTATCGTCGGGATGAATCCAGATTTGTCGGTACATCTTTTCGATGTCGGCAGTGATGACGAAGGGATGAGAACGGAATCGCAAAACCTGCTCCCACAAAGTTTCCTGAATGGTCGGCCCAGTCAACAGCATATCGTTTAATGGAATGCCCGTGGAGGATTTTGCAGAAGCATCGAAAACAACACGACACTTCGTCGTTTCGCTGGACTCCTTGATCACCGCGTGGTGAGGCAAGTAGTAACCATCGTTGTTGTCGTCTTCGCACAGCGTCATGTGGCCAAGTTCCAGGTACCCGTTGAATTCCTTCTCGTACTCTGCTCGGAAATTAGGGTTAGCATCAAATTTGCGCTGCAACGCCTCAAAACGCTGTAACGCTTGATGTTTTGACAAACCTAGTTCGAATTTGCCTGATCGAAACGGTAGACGAACGATATAACGACCTGAAGCGTCACGTGTCGTGGTTTGAACGTAGTACCTTTCGCATGCTACGTCCTCTTCTGACTTGATGGGTTGATAATCCATGTCTTCCATTGCCATGAATCTTTCTAGGAGTGAATCCAACCTCACCGCATTGCACGAAACTGAGTTGGGAATCGTTGATAAGATAGATCCTCCGGCTGCTATCCAGCCGAAAGAAGTTTTTTGAAGAGTGATTTGGGATCTTTGGTCATTTAGCCTGATTTGCCCTATGGCAAGAGAAGATAGAGTTGGACCTGACGCTAGCAAGACATCGACCGGTCTGGGTATATGAAATTGAGGATCTGCTAATTTGATGTTCTTGGGGATGTTGAATTTCTCCCGAGGGAAAGTCTCATTAGGCACCTTCTCAGCTATTTTAGGTACAATCAAAAAGTTTAACTGATATTTAGAATCATTATACGTAGAATAGAAAGTGGCAGTAGTGTATTTTTCCGAAACAATATTCGCATTGTCTATTGCTCCGATATTCACAAAGCATTGCTTAACTGGTAATTGTAAACGATTGATAAGAGATTGAGTCATTAAGTTTGCGTTAGAACATGAATCTAGTAGTGAGCGTGCCATGAGACGTTTTCCTGAAAATGACTGAAAGCTTAAAATTGCTGTAGTCATGAGTTGAGAATCAGGGAGGTATGCGCTTGACGCGAATATTTGTTGGCTTAGTCATGATTGAGATGTCCCGGACGGTTTTGAGTCGTTCGCGAGTTGAGGGGTAGATGAACCTGATTTTTTGTCTGCATGTAGAAGGGTATGATGATCTTTATGACATTTTTTGCACCTTTTCTCGCTGGTACAGGAAGCAGAGTGGACGTATAAGCAATTGCGACATAACCCCTTTGCTTTGACGAGTTCCCACCTTTCGTTCAATTTCGCTTGATTGAACCTTTCGCATTTGTAGAGCCTGTGGGATTGACCGCATTGGACGCACGCGTTGCTGCTGGTCGTCGAGGTAGTGACGAGTGTGTTGGCAATGTTTTTGGAGACCTTTGCCGGGGGTTCTGCCTTGCTGCCTGCTCCCTTTCTTTTGGACTGATAATCTCGTTTCGGAAGTTCACCTATCGCTCGTTGCTTAAATATTGAATCTTGAACGAAGATGTATAGCTCTTCCAATTTGGGGATTTCGCGATTTGAGTGTTTATCCATCCATCGCGACAGGAGATACCCGGGCAGGCATCTTTCGAGAATTCGCAAGACAAACTCGTCGCAGATCGCAATGTTCATTGTTTTGAGCATGCTGACGTGCTGACGGACGGTGTACATGAGGGTGGCTGTGGTTTCGGCGGTTGGATTTTGAACGGGAGCTAACTTTAGCAGAGCGTCGAAGTGCTCGTTGACCAGAACACGTCGTTGATCGTAAGCGTTGCATAACGCTTCCCAAGCTAAGCCGTAGCTGACGTCGCTGGGGTCAAGACAGAATTCTTTTATTACGGTCGCTGCTAAACCCTGAACTGCATTTTGAAGTTGGGACAGTTTGACGCTTCCCGCCATTCCTGGACGATCGTGTATAAGCGCTTGAAAGTTGGCCTTCCAGGAGACCCAGTTCTTGTGGTTCCCATCGAATTTGGGTACTGTCAACGGTGCAAGTTTCGCCACGTCAGTTCTCTCTATGAAGGTGGCGGTGTTACTTCCGTTGAACATAGTGGAATTCGCGAGAGGGGTCGCTGGGGGTTTGTTCATTTTTGATATTTGACTCGCTACCTCGAAATATTCGGATTCGAGCTCATCGAATGCAGCAATGTGGGGATGCTCGGGTTGCATCGAAAGAAGTTCTTCGCGATTCGCTGAATAACCTTGATATATTGTCGAAAGGGAATTTATTCGTAACTCCGCGTTCGTCGCATCAGGCGGGCAAGGCCCTTTGCCACCGTAAGGTGCTGCCACCACGCTAGGTTTAAGGCCCTAGCGCCTCACACACACTTACACACAGACACACGAGAGCTGCGCGCGCAGCTTGATTCGCTTCAAAAAATACATGTCTGAATATCGTACGTATGTGTTAATACATGCGTATCATGTTGCGACGTAACATACATGGTGAACGATTTATCTATAATGCGTGCGATTATAATGTGTGAAAGTGTACAGTATATATAAATGTGCGAATATGTATATACATATATACACACACACACACATACGCACACTCACACACACACACACACACATATACATATATACGAGTATATACATATTCGCAAATTATAATCGCAAGCATTATAGATAAATCGTTCACCATGTATAATACATATGTAATTATGATTTCGAGAACTTTTATACTAAATGTTAAATTATGTTTTACTAATAGTTTTAGTAATACATTTTGTAATACAAAATGTATTACTAAGAAGTAAGAAATTATAAATGAAATAAAAAATTAATCTTTCGATTCTTAAAAATTGTAAGTTTCAGAAAAGGAGTGGACAAACGTCAGTTCTGTCTTTTATAGTATGTTGCGAGTTGCAGTCCGTGGTCTGTCATCCATCGTCCAACTCGTCTCATGGTCTGGTTCAACGCCAGCTGCACCAGCTCGGGGGACATCTCCATAATCACCGCCGCCACGTCATCAGCGTAGGCGACGAGGGTCACTCCGAGTGGCATCCCAAGCCGAAGCAGACTATCGTATAAGCCATTCCAGAAGTCAGGTCCTAGTATAGAGCCCTGTGCCACCCCACCGGTGACCTGTCTCGTAACTTGTTCTTCGATCGTCTCCTACGTTATCCGTCTGTTTTTCAGGTAACCCTCCACAACCCGAAGCAACTGTGGTGGGAACCCGATGTTGCTTTTCAGCGCCTCCAAGATATCCCACCACCTGGCCGAGTTGAAAGCATTTCTATTGTCGAACGTCGCCAGCAACACTATAGGTCGCGCTACATGGCAGTGTCTGTCCAGTTCCAGGAAAAAGTCGACCATCTTTTGGATCGATGTAATCGTCGATCGACCTTTCCTGAAACCGAATTGCAAGTCTGAGAAATCCTCTCCGGTCTGTATCGCGTCCATCAGTCTCGGTCTTAGTATTTGTTGGAAGAGTTTACGAGTCGTGTCAAGTAATCTCAACGGTCGGTAGGCTGAAGTTGTGCCAGGATCACTCCTACCTTTGGGATAAGAACGAACCTTGACTCTTTCCACCGGACGCTGAACCTTCTTGTCGTCAAACACGTTTTGTCTACTGTCTGCCCTCTGTCGTTCTGGTATGTTCAATGCATTTTTGTTCGTATCGTTTCGTTTGGTCCTCCTCTTTGCCATACACAAGGTACGGCCCTCAAAATCCTTGCCGCTGCCCGTGGCCACCGGGGCTTTCACCCGATCGGGACCCGGGGTGGATTCTCCCTGAGAAGGGATTACCACTTGAGGTAAATCAATGTTTTCTTTGTGCATTTTCCATAGTTTTCTGTCCCGTTATGCTAGAGGTCCCTCGTGGTCGCGACTCCACGAACCGCGCTGGGACAACGCACGGCCCCTGAGGTCCCCCCCTGTGTGTTTACCCTGTGTGTTCAGTGTTCCCCCCTGTGGTGTGTGCGTGTATGTAAGTGCCCATGGGCAAAACCGAAAAGGGTAAGCTTATCTCTTGAAAAGGGTAACAGTATGTTGGAGAAACTCTACGAAACATGTGAGAAGAAAGAACTATACTTTTTACATCATGAAGGATCCAATTTTGAATTTATCACACACACATACACACACACACACACACACACACATATATATATATATATATGTATGTATGTATGTATGTTTTTTTTAATATAAATTGAAATCCATGTTAATTGTATTGCTACTAGATTTTCATGAAAAATAGGGCTACGATGAAAGTTGGGTTATGCAATCCGTGCTTCTGCTCTATATCGACCACCTGATTTGATTGCTAATTTGATCTCTTTTTGCTTTCTTTCATCCTCCATAGTTATTTCATATACTGAATTAATCATAAGCTGATATATATTGTATATTTGTGTGATTTTGATTTATGATAACTGCAGTAATAATACGTCTTACGAAGGCAGAATTAATTTTATACCGAACAATTCCATCTCGTTGTAATTGATTTGGACTTTCTCGTAATGTCTGTATATTTTCGCTAACTTTTATGAAATTATTTAATTTGACTTCGATAGAATTTAAATGAGAAGTGCAAATATGACATCTCTGGCGTATTGTTCTAGTTAAATCAGATTGTTTTATATAAATTTCTAATAAATTGATAACAGAAATTGTTCAATCTAATAATAACTACTACTAGTAATACTACTACTGCTACTACTACTACTAGTACTACTACTACTACTACTACTACTACTACTACTACTACTACTACTACTACTACTACACCGGCTGTTGTCAATCGACAGGAGCCATCTGTTTGGCAGCGTCCGGTAAGAACGTTTTGGCCGACATTGTTGACCCCGACAGCACCTAGGGTGATGAATGCCGACAGCCGGGGCGAATGCGAGGGCGTATCGCGGATAGTGACAGGGCGTGGCCCTGGAAGTACGAGTATGGATTATGTCTCGGCACTCGATGACGACGAAAAGTAGCAGAAAAGCGCGTCAGATGAGAAACGCGCTAGTAAACCGAAAGGGCGACAAGCAGACGTGGTTACGGCAGCAAAAAGCTAGTCATTATCATTCTCGAAGAAGGGTGGACTGACGGCGAAAAAATTTTTGAGGCGATTGCACGAGATGCAATCATTTTATAGATTCGATGACGTGAAGATATTGTTGGCGGTAATGCTGTCGTTTACTAGCGCGGAAATGGCTTTATGGTGGGAAACGAATCGCCCGAGCTGGGATACACTGCAGGATTTTACATATGAGTTCCAGCGTCAGTTTTGTCCGCGACGATCGCGCGAGGATGTTTAAGACGCGCTGCGCCGCCGAATTCAAGACGAAAATGAGTCATTGGTTGAATATCTCACAGCCTTTCTGTATATTGCGAGCAGGTTAGAACTAATGCTTTTGGAACGCAGGTAGCTTGAGCTGATTAAAAATAACCTGTACCCGAAATTGCGCAATCACATTAAAAAGGTTCAAACGCTGAAAGTTCTTCACTTTTACGGGGAGAGTCGAACGCAGACGAGACATTGATAATCGCTATCGCCCGCTGCCAGCACCGCAGGAGTCGCTGATGCCAGAGGTTGCTTACTGTGGAGACTTGTCGAAAGGAGTCTCGAAGACTAGCAATCACGCGAACTTCGCAGTGGACGAACGAGTTTTGTGGTCGGGGATGAAAATAAAAAGGATCATCAAGGAAATAAAGGTAAATCGGCAACGAAATCCGCAGGCAGGAGCCGTGATTCGGACGGTGAGGGTGTAGCTGAACGAGAGGCCGCGGACTCGTCGATAGAGTGGCCGAGGGACATGGTAGCCGTGTTATCGCAGCTAGCTCAATCGCAGTTACCTCAATCTCAGTTGCCCGACGGATTCCGCGTAATTGCGCGTAATAGGGCGCTCAACGGAGCAAAAGTCGCGTTCTTGAGGTTATTTTGTAGCAAATTGCAGAATTTCAACAGCAGAATAAAACTAGCTTAGGCGCGAATAACGTGAACACAGAGGCCTCGATACAACGCGAGGGCGCGAATGGTAGAACCAAGGAAAGTTTGGGGAAAGTGTTCGAATTGATCGAATTCAACGAATAATGGGCAAAAATGCGTAAAGCAAATCCCGAGCGCGAGCGAGGAAGGCGTGCAGTGGAGTCAGAGGAAATGCTGGATGCACGCGAATCGGACCGAAATCGAAGAAATGTCCAAAGGGGTCCGACGCTCGGACGTGGATTGACAGATGAATCGACGAGAACGCGCGGGGTGGATCAGCCGGACAGGAACTCAAAGGAAAATGCAGAGACCACGCGGTCTTCGAGAGGTTCAGAGGGGGATGCGGCGCGCGTGCGGTCGGTTTCGGAACAGACTCGGAAGGAGAGATCGCTTCAGCAGACTGGAAGCTCAAGAACCGACGACTTTGACAGTGTAGACGAGACGTCGTCGCGATCCGTCACTTCATCCAAGGAACTTATGGTGCTGATCGCATCGGTTTTGGGAGCGTCGGATGGCGCAAGATGCGAGTCGACGCGTGTGGATTTGTCGGATAGACCGGTGAGCGAGAAACGAGATGAGTCATCGGAGACCGGTGTGGGTTTCTGGCGTCTTGGTGCTCGTGTATGCTTGGGCGAACCAAAGGTGGGCACGTTGGAAAATTGTGAGTTGTTAGTAGTTCACATCGAGGGGAATCTATATAGTGCGCTCTATGATTCGGGAACGATGGTGACTATCGTGTGTCCGCGTATAAGCTGCGAATTCGCAGACCGGATTGAGCCGTGCGGCGTCGCGTTTTTTGGGTTTTTTTGGGGTTTTCGGGAGTGAAGACCGGGATCGTCGAAAAACTTCGACTCAGGGTTGAGATTGATGGAGTGTTACGAACAATTGTAGCGCGCGTCGTAGATATGCCGGTGCAATACGACATGATAACCGGGATGAATTTCATTTAGGAGTTCGGTATTGGCACGGAACATGCGAATGGACGTTGGCACATAGAGAATGGCCCGTGGCACTGGCGTTAGAGCTGAGGTAGCTGGACTCTCTGAATTGCGACCATCGCAGCTCGAATTAGTGGAACATCTTGTGCGACGGGTGGTACCCGAGAAGTCGC